TGGTGCGTTTTACCATCGTCGAAACTGGCCCAAATTCCTTTCTCTTTCAAATGACAGGAGTTTCTACAAGCAGCAATCGCATGCCCTTTTACCCATAACTTCACATATGACTACCAAAGTTGAAACCCCAAACCCTTCCCCCATCCCCAACCGCAGTTCATACTCAGAATCCTGCACGACTTGAGTATCATAGCACCAGAAATCCCAACTGGTGGGGCAGTAGGGGTCATGCAGCGTTTTGAGTGGCACTGAATCCTAAACGCCAATCCCTACATGGTAGACCCTAAGCCCTAACCCCCAAACTTGACCCTGGATCATGCCTCAGAGAAAAGGTCCAACAACACAACAAACTTGACCCTGAACCCTAAATAGTTGCAGGGCAAGATGCATGGTCAGGGCCTGCTGCGATATAGCAACGGTTGGCTCCTCAGCATCAACCCTAAACCCTAAACCCTAAACCTCAAACCTTAAACCCTAAACCCTAAACCCTAAGGTTTTTGGTCTAGCGTTTACGATTTTTGGTCTAGCGTTTACGATTTATTTCAGGGCTCCTTGAGAATTCTTTGAAGGGCTTTTAGGGATGTACACATGGGGGTTGTTCTACAGGTCCTTGTGAAGAAGGGACCACTGGGAATACACTTCCTAAAAGGGGGATCCTAACCAAACAGGGAACCTACATTATGGCGATTTTGGGGACAGGTATTTAGAACAACTACCACATATATTCTGCAGGACGCACACATAAACATACGCCGACATACATTATGGGGGTAGGGCTTCTCAAAATTGAGGGTCCGTGGGACACTCGGGGTTATGGGAGGCAGTAAAGGGTTGACTGGGGATTTTGTAGGGGGAATTTTAGGCAGCTACCACATGGGAGTTGTTTAAACCATGCAAGCACTGTATTCTTTTGAGGGCATGTGGGCTGTCCCTGTCGTCAGAAATATTCATAGGGAAAGTTCCCAAAATGAGGGGTCCCATTTTGGTACCCATAAGAATTTGCTACCGTAGTATACCCTACAGCCAAACGGGGCCCATAGTTTTGAGAACAACCCATGTGTTGACATCATCAGTGTGCATTAATTTGGTACTGCCCCCCTCAGTAACAGTTGGATAATAATTATAATATGGTTATATATAGCCCTAATAGGATTCCTAATATAGACTGTTACTGGGTGGGGGCAGTACCCAATGCATTAACATTCTAGACCAGACGTTTTGGAAATGAGGCTAGTTGTTGTCATGCGGACTTCCAGGATCGACAATTTCAGCCACGGGACATGACTTGTTAAGAAGCTTAAGCGACTTGACGAAGATGTGGATATGTAGTAAGCAAAGTGAGGTGCTCATTACGGCCTAAACCCTGGACCCTGAACCCGAAACCTTAAAACCTTAATTCCAGTTTCCTAACGGAAGCCTCAACATGGCAGATCTCCGCCAGGTGACTTGTACATAGGCGAGTGGTGTAATGGCCTTCGATCCGGGCAGGGAACCTTGACAAAGGCAGCGGGGTTTAGCTCTGCATGGGGTGGTCGGAGAAAGCCCTAAACACCAAGCCTCAACCCCTAATAAGCTTTCACCACCCTGTACATGGACCAAGCGAAAGCTTTGATTTTTAACACGCACACGAACATGAAAGACAGAACTCAGAAAAAGTGGGTTCTCTGTGGTCCAGGTCAGTACCTTGTCAATTAGAGCATTTGTGGAGTCCCAAGTATAATCCAAGGTACCACAACCACGGTAGCTGCATCTCGTGGTTACGTCTGCTGCCTCTGTTGCTGCTGATTGCATGGTGTCTAGTGCCATGTCATCCTTTAGTGTGGCTGAGCTGTATCTTGCTTTAGCAGAAGTTGGGGCACAGAGGGTCTGGAAAGCAGCGAACTCTTCACAGGAAACGTAGCTTGGGGGAGAGGGAGGTTCTTGCTCAAAATTTTGCTGATATAATTTCGAGAGCATGGGTGTGGTGACTTGCTTGTGCTTGCTCCGCTCACCAGATTTGCATGGCCACAGTAAAAGTAACCTCATCCCTACTCGCTGCGAAGTGTTTAAGACCCTTGCAAGGTCATGGCATGAATATCATCACGCTTGGTTGTTGCATCAAGTATCCCTACCCCTGTGGTTGTCGCTACCTATAGAAGGTTATGGTTGTGTCAAACCTCCCTAGCCCCTCTGTCGTGTTCACTGTCCTTGCGTGGTTGGTGTGCGCGAATACCACAAGACGTGGCTGTTCTGCATTGGGCAAATTATAGCGACCTCACCCCAAATCCAAATGGTGGTTTATATAGGGTGTAGGGTTCCAGAGGACAGTCGCGAGTTGGCTTAGTTCGCGTTCTGCAAGCAGTGTCAAACGGCCGCTCTGCATTGACGTGCTGAAGGCCTTAGCTTGACCCTCAAGCAATAAGAGTCATTTCATAGCCTTGCCCCGCAAAAAGAGGGCACTGAGCACTTTGACATTCCTTTCATAGACATAGGCCCTAAAAATCCATAGAGGTCCTTCGGCTTTGAAAGGATCCAGCATTGTAAGTTCTGAAGTAACATGTTCCTTCATACCTGTTCTAGTACTGTAGTAGGATATGTACCTAAACCCAATTCTTCTCATCTAGGCCCCGGCGTTGCACCATCAATCCCAAGCTTTGGCAGGCCAACGGTGACTGCTACGAGGGCTTCTGGCTCAATGTGCCGCGCCGCGTTTTCCCGGTTTAGGGTTTTAGAGGTTCTAGGGGTTTAGGGGTCTAGGGGTTTAGGGGTTTAGCCATTTAGGGATTTAGGGGTTTAGGGTTTAGAGGTTTCCAATAATTGCGAGGCCACTTCTTTGTGGGTCTCCATGATCAGGCTTAACTATGTCTTAGGTTACATAAGGGAGACCGTGATTCACGGACACCACCAGACAGAGCTTAGGTATGGGTGCCTGGGGTAATTAAGGGTACAGCCCCTACACCCTAAACCCTAGTCCCTAAGCCCTAAACCCTAGTCCCTAAATCCTAGTCCTTAGATCCAAAACCTAAAGCCCTAAACCCTAGTCCCTAAACCCTGGTCCCAAAACCCAAAGCCCAAAACCCTAGTCCCTAAACCTTAGTCCCTAAACCCTAAACCCTAAGCCCTAAACCCTAAACTGCCGGGGAAGGAATCCCATGGAGCGATCCTTTGCCTCAAAAGGCTACTTAGGGTTTAGGGTTTCTGGTCCTCAATAAGGGGACATAGGGGCTATGTAGAAACTATATAGGGGCTATATAGGGTTTGTGGGTTTAGGGTTCAGGGGCTCACTGCCCCAACCTTTCGTTAGCATGCGCAATTCGCCCTTTCGCGGCAGCAGGTAGAGCCTCAAGCTCAACATCACACCGAGATTAGAGCTTGGATAGATAGCAAGTCCCTAACAGCAAGGAAGCAGAATTTTCTAGAAATTGGGGGTCCCTTTTTGGGCGGTTCCTTCGATGAGGATTTTATTATCGTCTATCGTCACCATTGTATGTTGAGGCTAGAAAAGGGGACTCCTCCCCTGCAAACCCTAGACCCAAACCCTAAGCCCTAAACCTAAACCCAAACGTCCAGACCTTAAACCAAGAGAGGTGGCAAGGACAGAGGAGTAAGCCCAGGTCTTCTGACCTTGCAAAGATAGGACCCCAGGGTTTAGGGTTTAGGGTAGGACCCCAGACCCTGCAAACCTCTCGACATCAACTCTATCTCTCTATACATAATGGCAAAATACAATTTTTGCTGCATTTGACTCTCCGATATTCTGCCAAATCTGCTATCCATAATCCCCAAACCACAAAGCCTAGACCCCTAAACCCCGTATGAGCTACTGTCAATATTAGCCTCACTAAGGGACCACTCAAGGTGGACATAGGTGTCCCGCTTGTAGTTTAGTATAGTCCCCAAAATAGTCCTTAAAAAGGAACCCATGTCCATTGAATCATGTAGGAAATATTGTTTGTAGCCCAGAGAAGTCCTCTGCCAGGGGAACAGAGAAGGCAGAAGATCTTAGAAGACCCTAAGCCTTAAATCCTAACCCCAAACCCTAGACCCCAAACCCTAAACCCTAAACCCCAAACCCTAAATCCTAAACGCCAGGACAAGAGAGAAGGCAGCGGATCTTACTTCTATGCCGAGAGCGGCAAGGTCTTTGTCGGCGAGTGGGCCAACGATCTGCCCAAGGCTAGGGTTTAGGGTTTAGGGTTTAGGGCTCGTGGTTAAGGTTTAGGGTTCACGGTTTAGGATTTAGGATTTAGGGCTTAGGGCTTAGGATTTATGATTTAGGGATAGGGTTTAGGGTTTAGGATGTAAGAATTCAGGGTTCAGGATTCAGGGTTTGGGGTTCAGGGTTTTGGGTTTTCGGTTTGGGGTTCAAGGAGTGGAGGTTGCGGTTTTAGGAAAAAGCATGACGAGGGCAAAAACTTACAGTCCTTGTCGGGACACGCGGCAATTTATAGATTGCACTAGTGTTCGCAATATGGCTACTTCGGGTTCATAGCAATCTCTATCTTCATGTTGAAGTTGCAGGGAAAGGCAAGACGAAGTGTTAGGCCCCAGGGGTTGGGTTGTAGTGCATTCCCCAAGCAGGGTTGCTGTTAAGGAACTTAATTTAAGTTACTATATGGGGGAATCATATTAATTACTATATATACCCATGATGGTAACTTAAACCCTAAACCCTAAACCCCCAGCAAGAGTCTGAGGGTTTCTTGCGATTTGAGCCGGGCAGTTGCAATGGTGAAGTTAGCTTTGCATCCAATCCCAGACTATTCGCCTGCTTGCTGTGTATGTGCTCTTCTGGGAATTAGCGCGTGCTCAGTTCTAAGGAAGTTTCGGGTGGGTAGTTTCTCCATAGAAGCCTTATATAGCCCTTACATAGTCCTAGTGCCGCCTTACTACCACCTTGAAAACTCCCTTAATTCGTGCATGTTGAAATGCTTTTGCACTGCTGATCTTGGCTCGCGTTGCCCAGCCAGACTCGTACGTAGGAAGATGCAACGCGCCATCTGCAGCCGCTGGTGGGGCATATGGCGACGGCGGCACTTACCGCAAAGGAGTCGAATTGTAGTCACCATTCATGGCCCGAGTTGCTTTCCAAACTCCGTGAAAGCCTTCAGCAATTGCAGGCACCCAAGGCAGGGGACAGAACTGATCCAGGGGTGGCGTTAAGTGCCAGTACGTGGGCTCGTTGGATCGTGTAGGCGTAGAGGTTTGCATGCAAAACAGATCCTGTTGCCCTACCTGTCCCAGATCGTTGACGGCCCAGACCCTCATGTTGCTTCGGTGGTGTGGCAGCTTCTAAGAGAACATCCCGATTGCATCGAACTGTGCGATCTCTATTTGGGCCGACATGGTCAGCAAGTGGAGAGTCTGAGCCGAGAGGTTTTGGCACGCGGACCTTTTGCACACATCGTAGAAGTCGGCGCCGGGAAAGGCCTACTTGGACGTGTGCCTGGGTGCTGTAGGACCCCATTGTTTTTCTAGTGCTAGTGTTTTGCCTGTTTTGGAACGGCAATTCCAAAAGGTTCTTCAAGAGCTGATGCCTGGTTCTACTTTGACAAACCTTGAAATCAACTCGGGAGTCAGCGGATTCGATCGCGCCGACACGGAACGCGTCGTGCTGGACGTACGCGAGTCTGCACGAGTCGTTGAGCTGCTAGCCTGCTGTTCAGGAACTTGAATTCATGTTCAGTTAAACGGAAACCGTGTTGTGACATGTATGTACAACCTGTCAGTGTTATGGTAACGGTAACTACTACTTGGGTTAATTTACAACTCAGCTTTCTTAACGCCCTTGTCCACCTCCTGCCCCCAGTATCCATTTCATTTTCCATCTTTTCCATTTGACTTCTCCACTATTGGGGTAATAGCCCTATACCTATACTACCCCATTACCCCCTATGTAAAGCCTATATAAACTCTATATAAAACCATAGAACCCCTAGGAAATCCGATTATGGTAGCTTAAGGTAACTTCCTTACAGTAAGCCAGGCTGCTGCAGGGGCTGACTCCCGGACGCGTGTGCGTGATCGCCAAGCATCTCTGCGGTCCAGCAACTGACTGGGTTTAGGGTTTAGGGTTTAGGGTTTAGGGCTATGCTTAGTTGGGAAAGGGGGAGGGGAGTCCTATGGTAGTCTCTATATCCCCCCCCAAAAAATAGGTTGTAGTATTTCCTGTAACCTTACAACCCCTGGGAAGGAGACCTATCTGCTTCGCAGAATAGTCCCCGCAATGGTTCCTAGACCCCCTTGTCCTGTTCCGAATTCCTTAAACCCTAGACCCTAGACACAAGTCAGGCAACCGATGCCTTGCTGCAGACATTATCTCTCGCTCCAGTGGCGGATGTCATTCTTGTAGCTCCATGCTGCCATTCGAAGATCCAGCATCTTACCCATGAGTAGTATAGGGTCCTGGATTATTACCATACTCTTAGTAGTATTCTGGGTTTAGGGATATTACCTCAGTAACGGAAAATGGAAAAGACATTGTAAATGGAAGCTGGGGTTGTATGTGGTTTATAGGTCTACAAGGACACTTGCTAACATCATGGTCCTCAGTTCCCTTGTATATTTTACAGTAAAGTCTCAGATAGCCCTGACCTAAAGCCTGACCCATAAGCGCTAAACCTTAAACCCTAAATCTTAACCTTCGATTATGATCTTGGTCATGCTTTGAGCCCCTGTAGTAGTTGGGAATGCGTTGTAGGGACTTAAGGGGATTATATGAGCCATACTCAAAATTCCTTATACAGGGTTATATAAGGGATTATATAGGGCAGTATTCTAGGGCTTATTCAGGGGGATATTAAGAGTTTAGACTATAGCTCACATAGAGACTGCTAACTGGGGTCGCCTCTCCCATTCCCAATTGGGCATGATTAAGGTACTTGGAGGAGTATTCGAATCCAGACTTCCTTCGGGAACGGGGCTTCTCAGCCAGTGAGTGGCCAATGCTCATCAAGTTGCTGGCAGTGGCGCGGCTTAGGGTGGACCAGGACGGCAGCAGCAGCTCTGACAGTTCCTTCAAAAGCTGGCAGCGTGCCTTGGCTGAGATTGGAGCTGAGGTTGATGTTCAGTTGTCGCATCGCGCGCTTTTCTCCAGGTTTCCTGGCGCTAGCAGTGCAATCAAGGTTGGGAGCATACTTTCGGAGGCAGGAAGGCAATGATCGAGATCGGGCGTGAGGTGAGACAACTGCTGGAGGCGGGCCGCGCGAAGATTTTGGAGCTGCAAGGCTATTCTACGGAGCTTCTGCAATATGCTCCGGCACACACCACCTCTGAGAACATTGTCATAGTTGCCATGAAGCCCACCTCGGCCTTAGTGGGCATCCAAAACGCTCTCCCGAAAGTCGGGGTGCTGCTGGAGGCCCCGAGTGCCGCTGCTCGTGTGACGCAATTTTTGATGGAAGTCCGCGGTCAAATCCTTGACCGGTCGGGTGCCCTCCCCTTCCTGGCTGCCTTTGCGTGCTCGGAGGACTCCGTAGCTGTGCTCGGCACGGATGCCATGGAAGTCGTTGCGGCCCTGCGTCAGCATGCCCTGCTCATGGTGCAGCTCCGTATTGTCACCCGAATATATCCGTGCCTTGGCTTCATCCGGATGAGGTGACTTTTCTGTAGGGCCATATGGATACTACTATTATTACCATTATTGTCATCAACATGGAGTATAAGTTAGATGATCTAAGAGCTGTGTGTGATCTTAGTTGAAACACCACTCGCTGGATCTCAATGTTTTTTGGAATGGTAATAACCTAGTCGGATAGGTCTTAACCTTTTGATAGACTCACATGCACAGGCTCTACAGACGAATGATTGACTCGTGCTTAGTGTTTGCGAATTCTGTTATTCCAAAATCTATATAAGTGTCCAACCTTCAACCCAAACCATTGCACCCTGAACAGTCTTTTGAGATTTGGGTTCAGGGAATTTGAACCCAAAGACACAGGCTGGCCGAAAATGAAAACTTTAACCCTCAATCCCAAGACCTTGACCCTTAAATCTTAAACCCTGAGCCCCACACCCCAAGCCCTGAACCCTCCCAAAAAACCCTAAACCCTCAACTCTAAACCCGAAGCCTTGAATCCCAAGCTCTGAGCAATAAGGTTCAGTTTGGCAGTGGATTCTGTGGAGGACGTACCTTTAAGCCCTGCAGGCGCAATCTGACCCAGAAGCAGGGGGAGGGCATTAGGATTTAGGGTTTAGGGCTATATGAGCTATAGTCTAAACTCCTTAAAGGGGGTTATATAGGGGAGTGTATAGGGGAGTAGCTTAGGGGTTATTAAGGGGGATCCTAGGAGTTTAGACTTTAGCTCATATGGGGATATCACCCTTGGGGTTGTATAGGGTTTATACGGTTTCGCAGAATTAGAAGTGTTTTTTTTGGGGGTCCTGGTGATAAGGATTCTATTGTTTTGGTGCCTTTGTTAGAGCTTAGGGGTGGTTTAGGGTTTAGGCTTTAGGATTGAGGTTTGTTGGGGTTTTGGGCAAAGAGTGCTTGTGGTTTTGGTCTTAGGTGTTTCGGGCTTCATGATCAGGATGTTGGGCTTTTGAGGTGTAGATTGCAGGTTAATTGGGATTAATAGGTTGCGCGGTGATTAGTTCAGTAAGGCTTTGTAGATTTGGGTTCCGCTTGTACTACATGTCCCTAAAGTGCAGATTACCTATGTTTCCTTCCGTCTGCGGACAACAATTCAGGCACACGTGTGTACAGCGGCATGATATGCTTAGTAAAGAGTAGATGGAAGCCTGATGTGTGTGTTTTCGTGGGGTGTTCTGCAAATGATGGGCTCCTCTATTGGCATCATTTAGGAGGACCCCCCCGCCCTGTAATAGCGGCTAGAAGGGATAATAGGGATTTTTTTGGGTCCTCTTATATTCCCATTATACCACTATTACAGGGTGGGGGGTCCTCCTAAGGCATCATTATTGTCAGGGCTGCGCCTGCTTGGATCTTGACATAGGATCCTTCTCTCAACTGCGAAGTCCAGAAATCCTGACCCTTAAACCCAGAGCGTGTAATAAATCCCAAGCCGATGAACTTAAACAACCTTAAACCCTGCAACCCTAAGTTCTCAAACATAAAGCCCAGAATAAATAGAAACTGTATAGGGCCAGATGCAAAACCAAAAATGCCGCAGAACCCGCACAACACTCGCCCAACACCCGCCCCCGAAACCCGCCTAAAACTCCGAACATGAGCCCTACACAATCTCTCTAAACCCTAAACTCTAAATCCTAAAATCCGGCTAAACTCTAAACCCTACACCCCAAACTCTAAACCTTGAACCCTTTCCCCTATACCCTAGGCCCTAAATCCCCTAAACCCTAAACTCTAAACCCTAAAACCCTCGCAGTGGCAGGAGTGAAGCCACCCTTTCGCCTGGCAGTCTCTCCCCGGGGGCTGCTTGAGGAGATCCTTGCAAGGGCAAAGGCTGATGGCGCCTTAGCAGCAGGGTTTTAGGGTTTAGGGTTTAGGGGTTTCAGGGTTGTAGGGTTTTAGGGTTTTAGGGGGTTNNTAGGGTGTAGGGTTTAGGGTACTTTCGGCAAGCCTTTGATATAGCGTTTTCATAATTTCATTTCCGTCGACTCAAATATATAGAAGTTCTGAGTTCTGTGCATGATCCACCAACCTGTTTGGCCAGATTCGGTAGACCTCCTTGTGTAAGATGGCGGACTTGAACCCTAAACCCTAAAC